TGTGGTTGCAGGGGTCGAGTCATAGCTCCTGGCCCCGCCTCTTCGCTGATTGCTACTATGTCCCCACTCTCCCTGCCCCATTAGCTTTATCATACCTTGCCGTAAGACTATGTATGGTTCCCGCCTCCACTAAGTCACTTTCTAGGCTATTCCACGGCCTGACTACTCTATTAGTGAAGAAATACTTCCTAACATCCCTTTGATTCATCTGAGTCTTCAACTTCCAATTGTGACCTTCTGTGTCTGTGTCCCTTCTCTGGAACATCCCGTCTTTGTCCACCTTGTCTATTCCACGCACTATTTTATATGACGTTATCATGTCTCCCCCGACCCTCCTTTCCTCCAGTGTGTGTGTGTGTGTGTGTGTGTGTGTGTGTGTGTGTGTGTGTTTGTGTGTGTGTGTGTTTGTGTGTGTGTGTTTGTGAATGTGTATGCATGTGTAACAGTGTAAGATGTAACTGCACATATAAAACAGATGTAAAACACAGACACCACTGCCCCAAACCATCGCCTAGCACTAATTGAGTCGTTGGTTATTAACCTCTACATTGACACTAACCAGAAATAACCCTTTTGAGGTCGACGTATCCAGTCAAAGCCATACACCCAATAGCTACCTCGCACACACGGACATAGACACTCGTGCACACACATGCATGCGCAACCTGTTCACCTCTGACCTCAAGGTCTGGTCATTTACCTCTAAACTCACGCTAACCAGAAATAGTTAAGTCAAGTTATTCAAAGGGAGAGCAAGGTTTGGGGAGCCTATCTTTCTATTTACTGATGCTCCCCTTACACACTTTGTTTGTAATTCCTTTTATTAATTAAACTATTTTTTATTATTACAATTTGTTGTAAAGGAAGTCCTTCCTTGCGAGGTCCCCTCTGTCGGGGGGCATGGGACATTTGCCCCCTTTGCCCCCTTATAGATCTGGCCCTGATCGATTCATGGCTTCTGGCCATGAACGGTTTCATTTATTTATGGCGGCTCGATCATACCCCCTCTTGAACCTGTGTACAGAGTTTGTCTACACCATCACTTCATCTTGTGTCTTCCATCTATGTTCTCTCATAAACTCTGGAAATATTTGCTAAATCAGATCAAAAAGATAATACCTACAGTTTGATTATTGAGAAACATTCCACCCGAGCAGAAGCCTAATCACTCTTAAGATAAAATTTAGTGTGTAGGGGAAAAACTTCTTTTATGAAAAAATGAGGAAACGGGAAAATAATTATTTTTCTTTTAAATAAGAGGACAACATATTTTGTTAAAAAAAAAATATCCATCATCTTATGAAGGTGAAAGCATTAACGCAGTCTGTCAAAATTTTAGCATTAACAAATGCACGAGGACAGGGAGACACCAGCTTTTGTTGCTGAAACAAAAACAAGCTTAGGCTAGGCTTGTAGCTGGGAAAACAACAACACCAGGCTTGTAGCTGGGAAAACAACAACACCAGGCTTGTAGCTGGGAAAACAACAACACCAGGCTTGTAGCTGGGAAAACAACAACACCAGGCTTGTAGCTGGGAAAACAACAACACCAGACTTGTAGCTGGGAAAACACTAACACCAGGCTTGAAGCTGGGAAAACAACAACACCAGGCTTGTAGCTGAGAAAACAACAACACCAGGCTTGTAGCTGAAAAAACAACAACACCAGGCTTGTAGCTGAGAAAACAACAACACCAGGCTTGTAGCTCAGAAAACAACAACACCAGGCTTGTAGCTGGGAAAACACTAACACAAGGCTTGAAGCTGGGAAAACACTAACACAAGGCTTGAAGCTGGGAAAACACTAACACCAGGCTTGTAGCTGGGAAAACAACAACACCAGGCTTGTAGCTGAGAAAACAACAACACCAGGCTTGTAGCTGGGAAAACAACAACACCAGGCTTGTAGCTGGGAAAACAACAACACCAGGCTTGTAGCTGGGAAAACACTAACACCAGGTTTGTAGCTGGGAAAACACACTTACGCCATGTTTTTAGCCAGGAAAACACATTTAAACCAGGCCTGTGGCTGGAAAACACATTTACACCTGGCTTGTGGCTGTGAAAATACATTTACACCAGGCTTGTGGCTAGGAAAACACATTTAAACCAGGCTTGTGGCTGGGAAAATACATTTACACCAGGCTTGTGGCTGGGAGAACACATTTACACTAGGGTTGTGGCTGAGAAAACACTGTCACTTTGAAGCTGGGAAAAAACTAACACCAGGCTTGTAGCTGGGAAAACACTAACACCAGATTTGTAGCTGGGAAAACACTAACACCAGGCTTGTAGCTGGGAAAACACTTACATCAGGCTTGTGGCTGGGAAAACACTTGTACCCGATTTGTAGCTGGGAAAACACTAACACCAGGCTTGTAGCTTAGAAAACACTTACACCAGGCTTGTGGCTGGGTAAACACTTGTACCCGATTTGTAGCTGGGAAAACACTAACACCAGGCTTGTAGCTGGGAAAACACTTACATCAGGCTTGTGGCTGGGAAAACACTTGTACCCGATTTGTAGCTGGGAAAACACTAACACCAGGCTTGTAGCTGGGAAAACACTTACATCAGGCTTGTGGCTGGGAAAACACTTGTACCCGATTTGTAGCTGGGAAAACACTAACACCAGGCTTGTAGCTGGGAAAACACTTACACCAGGCTTGTGGCTGGGAAAACACTAACACCAGATTTGTAGCTGGGAAAACACTAACACCAGGCTTGTAGCTGGGAAAACACTTACACCAGGCTTGTGGCTGGGAAAACACTTACACCAGGCTTGTGGCTGGGAAAACACATTTACACCAGGCTTGTGGTTGGGGAAACACATTTACACCAGGCTTGTGGCTGGAAAACACTAACACCAGGTTTGCAGCTGGGAAAACACTGACACCAGGCTCGTAGCAGGGAAACGCATTTACACCAGGCTTATGGCTGGGAAAACTCATTTACATCAGGATTGTGGCTGGGAAAACACTAACACCAGGTTTTTAGCCAGGAAAACACATTTGCACCAGGCTTGAAACTGGGAAAACACATTTACACCGGGCCTGTTGCTGGGAAAACACACCAGGTTTGTAATTTGAAAAACACTTACACCAAGAGTGTAGCTGGGAAAGCACTTACATCAGGCTTGCAGCTGGGAAATCCAGGAGTGTATCTGGGAAAACATTTACACCAGGAGTGCAGCCGGGAAAACACTTACACCAGGAGTGTAGCTGGGAAAACACTTACACCAGGAGTGTAGCTAGGAAAACATTTACACCAGGAGTGCAGCTGGGAAAACACTTACACCAGGAGTGTAGCTAGGAAAACATTTACACCAGGAGTGCAGCAGGGAAAACACTTACACCAGGAGTGTAGCTGGGGAAACACTTACACCAGGATTGTAGCTGGAGTGTAGCTGGGGAAACACTTACACCAGGATTGTAGCTGGTGAAACACTTACACCAGGATTGTAGCTGGAGTGTAGCTGGGGAAACA